ATTGGCCTTTTCAAATATTTTCTTTTAATTTGGTTTTAATATAGATATGTATTGTATTGTGGTTTTATAAGGCTGTTAGCCGCCCTGAGTCCGGTGAGGAGAAGGGCGGGGTATAAATTAAATTATTATTATTATTATTATTATTATTATTATTATTATTATTATTATTATTATTATTATTATTATTATTATTATTATTTAAGATAGCTTTAAGTCTTCTCCCACTTTCAGACTTTCAACTCACCAAATTCCTCAGCCCTAATGGCTGTTAAGTGCAAGGACTGGTTTTAAGTCACTGTTTGAGCACCGTCGTAACTTTGATCGGTTGCTAAACGAACAGTCGTAAGTTAAGGACTATCTGTGTTCTCAAATCGGCTCTCTTTTTCCCCTCTCTCATTTTTTTTTCTAGAGAGTGTTATCAGAGAAGGAGGATCATCCAAAGTGATCAAACTGGACACCGTGTGGCAAGTTGCAAAGCAGGTGAGACAAGGAAGTGGTGTACAGACATTCTAACAGAATATCAGAATAACAGAGTTGGAAGGGACCTTGGAGGCGTTCAACCCCCTGCTCAAGCAGGAAACTTTATACCAGTGATGGCGAACCTTTTAGAGACTGAGTGCCCTAACTGCAACCCAAAACCCACTTATTTATCACCGGGTGCCAGGTGGGTGTGGCCCACTGGGTGGGCGTGGCTGTGGTGGTCATGGCAGATTGGGTGGGCGTGGCCAGCTCGATTTTGCTCGTGGGGAGGGACGCCTGTGCGGGCCGGGCAGGGTTGGGGGAGATCCAGGGGTCTCTGGCAGGTGGGGCGGTGGACAGGAGGCTCGCGAGGCAAGGGGAGGTAGGGCGGGGGTGTCATTATCACAGATCAAGGTGAGTCAGGGCCGGGGCAGCTGCTGCCTGACACCATAGGCCCCTGCATACAGAGGCCAGCGAGCGCATGGGTGCTGGGATGCATCCGGCCATGTGGGACCTCGGCGAGTTAGCAGGCAGCTGGTTGAAGAGGGACAGTTGCCATCTCCGGGGCATGGCGCGTGTGCCCACAGAGAGGGCTCTGAGTGCCGCCTCTGGCACGCATGCCATAGGTTCGCCACCACTGCTTTATGCCATTTCAGATAAATGGCTGTCCAATCTCTTCTTAAAAGCCTCCAGTGTTGGAGCACCTAGAACTTCTAGAGGCAAGTTGTTCCCCTGGTTAATTGTTTTCACTGTCAGGAAATTTCTTCTTAGTTCTAGGTTGGTTCTGTCCTTGATTAGTTTCTATCCGTTGCTTCTTGTTCTGCCTTCAGGCGCTTTGGAGAATAGCTTGACTCCCTCTTCTTTGTGGCAACCCCTGAGATATTGGAAGACTGCTATCATGTCCCCCCTCGTCCTTCTCTTCATTAAACTAGACATACCCAATTCCAGCAGCCGTTCCTTATATGCTTTAGCCTCCAGTCCCCTGATCATCTTTGTTGCTCTTCTCTGCACTCTTTCTAGAGTCTCAACATCTTTTTTACATCGTGGTGATCAAAACCGGATACAGAATTCCAAGTGTGGCCTTACCAAGGCGTTATGAAGTGGTACTGACACTTCACTTCTCCTTTTAACAGGATAAGCATGCGTTGCTGGATATTACACCGGCCGCTGTGGAACGTCTCAATTATGTGCAGTATTTCCCCATTGTGGTCTTTTGTGAGCCGGACAGCCGGCAAGGAATCAAGGCCATGCGGCAGTGGCTGGCGCCAGATTCCAAGAAGAGTTCGCGCCGCCTCTTCGCGCAGGCCGCCAAGATGCAGAAGTATTGCAGCCACCTCTTTACAGACACCATCAGTCTGGCCGGGGGGTCCAACAACTGGTACCAGACCCTGAAGGAGATTATCCAAATTCAGCAGGCCCGTTCTGTCTGGATGACTGAAGAACAGGTGGGTGAGCACAATCCCAGTGGGAGTGAGATTTTAAGCTAGCTTGTAGGCAGCCAGGCAACGTTCCCCAGCAATTTTTCCCCATCCTGATGCTCTCTGGAATCATAAGAACCTTAACGAGGTTTCAGAAGGTGGAACGCTGCAGTAATATAACTTTAAAATCCGGATTGCAGTCCAGATCTGTTGGCTCTGCAATAGGTTAGCTTTTTAGCCCAAAGGTAGTTGGTTGTTTTTTTTTACAAAACGAAATCCAGGTTATTTATTATCTTCTATTTAGACTTTGCTTTTCATTTTTGTTTTTTTTTTGTTTTTTTATATGAGACATGAATCGTTTGATTTTATTGGACTTCTCTGATTAGCCTGTCTGAAACTTCCTAAGCTGCTCAGAAAAATATTTTAGCTAAGAGTCATTTTCCAAACAAAGTCTATTCCAATCAGTCTTCTACAACAGCAATTCCCAACTTTTGGGCGCCAGGGACCGGTACCGTGGAGGGCAGTTTTTTTCTACAGACCGGGGCGTGGTGGTTTCACACATTGCCTGGATCCCGTGCGTGTGCAGATGGGGCTTTGATCGCTTCCGCAGCCTGGTTCCTAGTGGGCCTTGAACCGGTGCCAGTCCAAGGCCTGGGGCAGGGGTAGGCAACCTTGGCTCTTTTATGACTCGTGGACTTCAACTCCCAGAATTCCTGAGCCAGCCATGTGTTCTATCCCAGCCTATTTCCATCCTTGTTAGAGGCACAAGGACCAAACCCCTGCTGATACAATAGGCTGGAGACTTTAAAACAAAACAAAATCCCTTTTATTTGGGTGACAAACCTGTCAATAAGTCCAAAACACAAACAGCAAAACTCAAGTCCAAAGGAAGGAAATAGTCCACAGGAACACGTTGCAAACAAGACGAACAGACCAGGATTCCAAG